TTCAATCTGTCTGGGCGGAGCTGATGAAAGGAGATACAGATGGGTAGCTCGTGATACTGTAGGGAATAGTGCTTGTCAGGACGGATTATGAGGGTTGGAAATGCAAAGGTGGAAGTTTTGTAACAAGGAAGGGAGTGATTAATTCACTAGGATAGGAGCGGAGGCCTCCGGGATCATAAACAGAGAAGAGCTGAGAGCGGGACCCTACCCAGAGAAACAGAGATGCTTGAGATGGAGACAGAGATGATGATGTGGAGTGAAGTGACTGGGGACTTTGGACCCAGAAAGGGAAAGGGACTGTGCGCTGAAAACTGGGGGGAGGAGGGGGAAGTGTAGGGGGGCAGTTTTCTGGGATATACCCTTTGGGTGGTTGATGATGCTTGGAGGGGATTGGAACCATGGCAGTGATATAATATACGATGGAATGAATGTAAAGCTAAAGAATGTAAAGTAAACTATCATATAATTCACAATAAAACATTAAAAAAAAAAAGAGCAGCTGAGGACTCTAGACTCATGGAGGGGGAGGGGATGTGTGTGGGGTGGAGAGGTAGGCTTTCAGGGTTTGCCCTTTGGCTATTTGAATGATTGTATATTCCTGAGTGCTTTTGTCTACATCAAAAAACAACAACAACAACAAAAAAAACAAAAAAACAGTGAAAAGAAGCAGCAAATACTGTTGAATGATGAAGCATGTAGGGGAGTGTAATCATTGCAATGAAACGAATACAATAGGATGAGTGTAAAACTGATGTTCCCCCATGTAAAGTATCACTCAATTCACAATAAAAACTTAAAAAAAAAAAAAAAAGACTAATAATCTAATTTTTAAATGGGCAGAGGACATGAGCAGACATTTCACCTAAGAAGACATTCAGGTGGCCAAGAAACATATGAAGAAATGTTTATGATCATTAGCCATTGTTGTTATGGTTAAGTGCCGTCGAGTCGGTTCTGACCCATAGCGACCCTGTATAGGGTTTCCAAGGAGCAACTGGTGGGCTTGAACCGCCAACCTTGCAGTTCAAAAGTCTTTGCAGTCTGGCGAATTAACCCACACATAGCACCACACCAGGACTCCCATTAGCCATTGTTGTTATTAAGGGCCATCGAGTGGTTTCCGATCTATAGTGACCCCTATATAGGGCTTCCAAGAAGTGACTGGTGAGCTTGAACTGCCAACCTTGCATTTCAAATGGTTTTGCAGTCTGGTGCATTAACCCACAGCGCCACACCAGAGATGCAAATCAAAACAAAAATGAGATCTCATCTTAGTGCAGCATTAATAACAAAGTAAAAAACAACAACAACAACAACAAAACAGAAAACAACAAATGTTGGCAAGGGTATGGAGAGACTGGGGCCTTCATACACTGATGGGACTTTAAAGTGGGGCAACCGCTGTGGAAACTGGTATGGCACTTTCTCAGAAAGTTAGAAATAGACATACCATGTGACTCAACAATCTCTCTACTGGTCTATATCCTCAATAAATTAGAACCATGACATGAATAGATATATGCACACCCATGTTCATTGCAATACTATTCACAACAGTAAAAAGATAGAGACAAGTTAAATGACCATCAGCAGAATAATAGTTAAACAAACTTTAGTGCATACACACAATGGGATACTAGGCAACACTGAAGAATAACATGAATTTGCAAAACACCTCACAACATGGGTTAACCTGGAGAACAGTCTGTGAGTGAAATTAGTTAATCACAAAGACAAATATTTTATGAGATCACTGTTATAAAGAGTTTAGGTGTTTCTTGACTGAAGAAACATTCCATGATGGTTATGTTGTTGTTGTTATTAGCCGTGGAGTCGGTACCAACCCATAGCGATCCTGTATAGGGTTTCTGAGGAGCGACTGGTGAGCTCGAACCACAGATCTTGCAGTTCAAATGGTTTTGCAGTCTGGCTCATGAACCCACAGTGCCACACCAGGGCTCTGTGATGGTTAGGGGTGTGTGTGTGTGTGTGTGTGTGTGATTATTCATGGACTAGAGTGTAGACACGTATTAACATGGGTGGGTGATGGGGCAGGCAATATTCAACACGAGGAAAGCTGAGCATAGTGTGAGGCATGGGGGGAATGCAACTTCAGGCTGTCTTATTAAAATGCTGTCTGGAACCCATCCCATATCTACTGAATCGGGAATTCTGGAGCTGAAGCCTCAAAAAGTCATCTGTTTTTGTAAGACCCTCAGGGGATGATGAGCGATGGGAGCAAAAAGTTTGAGATCCGAGGCATAGATCAAGGTAGAGTCGGCTTAAAAAAACAAAACACTTCTTGGATGTGCCCCCACCCCCCAGGTAGCGTGACCTACCACTCCTCCCCTCACCCCTTGGTCTCCAGTTTCGTGGTTTGGACTTTTGGCCCTTCTGAAGGCCTAGGCGGACAATGAGGGCTCGTTGGGGCTGCAAGGGTCCTGGCGGGTCGGGGAGGTGATAGGTGCTGGTATGGGCGTCAGCTCCGCGGCAGCCCCTCCCCTCCGCAGCGGCCTAGAGCGCTGGGCGCCAGCGAGGCGGGGCGGCAGAGGGGGAGGGTGGCGGGTACGTGCTCCGGGGCCTGGTGAGAATGTCCCCTGCAGCACTGCGTTCTCCGCCTTGGCGTCCACCTCCCCCAGCTTGTCCTGTCGGGCTCCGAAGCCCACCCGGCGTCGCCATTTGGTTGCTGGGGTCGGCTATTCAGGCCACCAGATTTTAGAAACCTCCAAGAGCCGAGTGTGGTGGATCGTGTAGGATTTCCGAGTGGGTTGGACCCTAGCGGAATACTGAAGTTTGGAAAAAGCAAGAAGTTCCTTTATCGCTTGGTTTGCACGGGCCGCTGGAGGCGGGTTGTTCGTACGTATCTACTGCGCGCTTGCTCCCGGGTCAGCTGCCAAGAGACCGTTCTGCGACCTTTCGAAGGACAAACCCGTTAGTACCCGGGCAACCAACTTCATCTGCAGAAGGAAGCCCGAGCGACGCTCCCGAGAGCCCCTAGTCTCGGAAAGTGACGAATGCATTCTCTGCGGGGCGCTTTGTAGAGCCGATAGACGCGAGACCTGCTTGGGAGTGGGGTGTAAGGGGATCCCCGACCTCCAGGCGGAGTCTCCCACTTGTTTACGCGGGCAATCGAGCAAACCAGTCTACTCGCCTCCTGGCCCCGACTTTTGTCCCGCTTCCAGGGATTCCCGCGCCTGGCACACCGCCGGGCACACTCGAGGGGAGCACAAGTGCCGCCCGCACCCCCGTCCCTGCCCCTCCCCGGCCGCGGCTATTTCAATCCCTTGGCGGCCTCGTTCCGAAGCCGGCCCGGGGCCTCACATCTCCTCCCACTCTGCCCGAAGCAGCAACAGCTAAAACCCGGAGCCTCCCAAGTGGACGTTCATTCTCCCCTCCAGTCCACCAGAGGCGGACTCTAGGCTTGAAGCCGAACTGGCCGGGAGCCTTACGCTCCGTCCAGGGCACGATGCACTGAATCTCCTAAGAAGTCCCGAGCTAGGGAAGGCGACTAGGCCAAGTTCAGGGGCATAACGGTGTCATGGAGGCCTCAGGGGCTCAGCTCCTAAGTTTGGAGGTGCCGGGCGCTGCGCCTTTAGGAGAACCCCCGCCGGCCGAGGAGCTGCCCGCCTCGGAGGGGCCCTGTGTGGAGAGTAGCGAGAATAGCAATGGCCTCTCCGAGGCCCCTAACCCCAATTCTCAGCCCGGCGCCAGCGTCCTGTCCGCTGAGGAAGAGGCAGCCTTCCAAGAGCAGGAGGAGCTGCTGGAATGCCGCCGCCGCCACCGCGCGCGCTCCTTCTCCTTGCCCGCCGACCCCATCTTGCAGGCGGCTAAGTTATTGCAGCAGCACCCGCAGGCTGAGGGGCTGGACGCAGAAAGCCGTGAGCTGGCCGGGGCCTTGGCACCTAGTTCCGGCGACTGCTGCACGAAGTGCAAGAAGCGGGTGCAGTTTGCGGACGCGCTGGGGCTGAGCCTGGCCAGCGTGAAGCATTTCAGTGCGGCCGAGGAGCCGCAGGTGCCGCCCGCCGCACTCGCCCGCCTCCGAAGCTTCCCCATGCGCGCCGAGGACCTGAAGCAGCTCGGAGGCCTGCTGGCCAAGGCAGCGGCAGCGGTGAAAGCGGCCGCGCCCCCTTCGCCCCGGTTGTGGCCGCTCTTCCAGCTCCCCGAGCCGGGGGCCGCTGCTGAACGCCTACGGCGGCAGCGCGTTTGCCTGGAGAGCGTGGACTGCTCTGCGCCCTGGGGCGCGGAGGTGACAGGCTCAGGCCGGGTACTCGGAGGTCCTGGCCCGAAGGCTGTGACTGTGCGCTACACCTTCACCGAGTGGCGCTCCTTCTTGGATGTGGCTGCAGAGTTGCAGCCTGAGTCAGAGGAGCCGCAGTCGCCAGAGGTGTCATCGGGGGTCGTCAGGCTGGAACCCGGGTCCGGGGATGGCGAGGAGGAACCGGGCGCCGAGCGTTTCCACTTCTCTCTGTGCCTGCCGCCAGGCCTAATGTCCGAGGACGTGAACGTGACGGGTCCAGCTGTCCACTTCGCCGTCCGCTACCGCTGCGCGCAGGATGAGTACTGGGACAACAACGCCGGAGCAAACTACACACTAAGCTTCGCGCGCAGGACGGACGGGCTCTGAGTCCCGAGGCCCGCACTGGGCCCCGCACCTGGTCCAGAGACGCTCAGGTCCCGGGACGGTGGGAAGTCGCTGCCCAGTGCTTGGTCGCACCGGCCTCCCGAGTGCTAACGGAGGCCTATCCTGGTGGACTTGGCCATTGACCTGTCAGGGAAGCGTGAAGGAGAAGAAAGGAAATAGCTGAGCCATAAACTCACACCCTAGACAGATCCCGCAAACTAGAAGAATTCCCCTCCCGCCTTAGCATTCTCCTCCCCCTGGAACTTCCTAGGGGGTCTCCAGAGTTCCCGCCACACATCAGAGAGGGAAGAAACACATGAAGTCCCAGCAGTAACGTTCTCCAAGAAAACATCTCCTGACTCCTGAATGCAGCTCTAAGGACGTTGGGATTGGTTCTCATCTGGAAACATCGTGCTTAATCCCTTACATCTTTCTGGAGACCACAGGAGAGGACGAAACTACGCTCCCCATCCCAGCCTTCCATTCACAGCGCCAGATTAAGCTCCTGGCAGCGGGTGGCAGCGACCCGCCAGTGCCTTAAGACTGACCTACTTCTCAGAAAATGAGCGGAGATGGGGTGCTCAGGATGGGGAACCGGCGTCCTTTTCTCTTAGCTGTGATCTGAGAACTGTTTGACTAAATGTCACGTTTGTGTGCAAATGCCCTTTCAAAAAATAAAGGCCACTTGCACATGCTTAAACTGCACTTTATAGTAGAAGTTCTGGCGGCACAGTGGTTAAGCCCTGAGCTGAAAGGGCTAGGAAAGATGTGGCAGTGTGCTTTTGTAAAAATTACAGCCTTATAAACCGTTAAGTGGCAGTTCGCATGTGTTCTGCTGGGTCTCTATGAATCAGATGTGGCAATCTGCTTTGTAAAGATTGTTGTTGGTAAGAGCCATGGAATCTGACTCATAGTCAACCTGCATAGGGTTTCCAAGGAGTAGCTGGTGGGTTTGAACTGCTGACCTTGCTTATCCCAGATCTCAGGCTAGGAAATCCTATGCACAGTTCTACTCTGTTCTGTAGGGTCGCTGAGTCCAAGTGGACTCCAAAGCCCTGGCTTTGCTCTGGGTTTGGCACTTGGGAGGCTTAAACATGCTCTTGTCTGCTGATGAGGAAGGTAGCACTTTAACAATAAGTCAGTGTTTCCAAATGCCCCTTCTGTATTCCTCCTCTCTGGTGTGGAAGGACCCAGATTTCTCCAGTTAGGCCAGAAAGTATTTTTCAAACAAAGGTTTGTAGGAGTTCTTCCCTTCTACAAAAGGCAGAGTAATTCCATAGAACTTGGCTGCTTGAGGGGAGAACAGTCTGTGGTGTAGACAGAGCACAGGGCTTGCACTGCGTGGCCCTTCCCAGCCAGAGAAGCTGAGCTCCACAGCACCTCTCTTTTTCAGTGCCATGGGAGGCAGTAGGAACTTGACTCGGAAGTGCCAGGTGGGTATGTTAGGATGCTGTTGGCCTGGAAACCAAGATGATGTCACTGTGAATAAACCACACAGTCTAGATACAGTGGGCTGCGTGTGAGGACTTGATTCCTTTATACTTTGGCCAGCTCTTGATAATTTATCTTTGTTTTTGTTTTTCCAATTTGTGTAATTTCCAAAACTTAGTTAGTACAATCAATTAGCTTTTGAAATAGTAGTCTTTAAGGTGGAGTCCTGGTCTGGCACTGTGGGTTAATGCGTTCGACTGCAAAGTTGGAGGTTCAAGCTTGCCAGCAGCTCTTCGGAAACCCTATACAGGGTCGCCATGGATTGGAACTAACTTGAGGGCATTTAACAACAACAGTCTTTAAGGTGGACAGTTTCACTGCTGGTCTCTACAATACGAGTTTGAAAACTGCATTTCATGGGCCAAATCCAGCCTGCAGCTGGGTCAAATGGCTTGTGAGATAATTTTTGTTTTGTTTTTTTCATTTTTAAGTGGTTGGGCAAAAAGAGCAAAAGTAGAATACTACTTTGTGACACATGACAGTTAGATGAAATTAAAATTTTAGTGTCCATAAATAAAGTTTTATTTGAAGAAAGCCATGCTAATTTGCGTCTGTGTAAAGCTGCTTTTATAAGGCAATTAAATAGATGCAGCAGAGACCTGGAGCCTAACATTTTCACTACCTGACAATTTACAGGAAGTTTGCCAAAACCTTGCTCCAGAGAACCACAAAATTATTTAATAAAGCCGTGACCACCAAAGTAAGTTACGGAGCTCTGGTAGCACAGTGGATTACAAGCTGGGCTGCTAACCACAAAATCACAGTTTGAATCTACCAGCTGTTCCATGGGAGAAAGATGAGGCTTTCTGCTTCCGTAAAGATGGACAGCCTCGGAAACCGTAGACAGGGTTACTAAGAGCCGGAACCAACTTGATAGCTACACAACAACAATCAAAGTAAATTAGACTTTTAGTGAACTTTGACACCTGAAAGAAACCTCCTTTGTATAATATGTTAGAACTGTTTACATTATTCTTAGTAATCTTGGTTACTAATAAATACTAAGACACCAAGTGTGCAATTATTACTATATTGGCGAGGGGAACCCACCTGCTGCCTTGTTTCATGTTGTTGTTGTTTTATGCTGTTGAGTGGGTTCTGACTCATAGTAATTCTATATAGGGTTTCTGGGGAGCAACTGGTAGATTTGAGCTTTCAGCATGAAGTTCACAGTCCATAGCTGACCCTATAGCGCCACACTAAGAGTCCTATTTCATGTAAGAAGTATTAACAAATCAGTATAACTGAAATGTAGCGCTTACCTACTGGCTTAGTTCTCTGGTGTTGCTATAACAGAAATACCACAGGTGGATGACTTCAACAAACAGACATTTACTTTCTCATAGTTTAGGAGGCTAGAAGAAGACTTTCTTTGTCAGCTCTAGAGGAAGGTCTTGTTTCTTTAGCAATTGCTTCTTGGTTCCTTAGAATATCTTGGCATCTATTACCGTATTTTTGCTCTTTGGAGTGTTCAATCTCTTTTATATGTCAAAAAAATCTTCCATATCTTAAAAGAAATTGACTCATGATATATCTTTTAATAAACCAGCATCACTAATATGGCAAGGACAACCCATTCCCAAATGGGATTATAACCACAGGCCTAGAGGTTAGGATGTACAGGCACTCCCTGGGCTAACAAGAGCCTTTCCTAAATCTGTTCAACTCAAGTTTTTAGGTGAGTCAGAACAGGTACATATGGTTCTTTTTTGCATGAGTTTGTCAAATATTTGTCTTTGCATACAGTACAAAAGTTTACCTTCCTATGCATATAAAACCCTTAAGAAATATTTCTAAATGCACTAAAACATATTAAACATCATACTACAGTAAGTAATAATTCTCTCTTCTGTACCAAAGAGAGAATCTGTATGTATGTATGTGTGGCCATACAGTACTGTAAAAAAGCACTACAGAAACAATTCTTTTTTTTTTTCTTTTTCTTTTCTTTCTTTCTTTCTTTATTTAATTTAAGGCTTTTATTGTGGATTGAGTGAATGAAAGTTTACAGGGCACATCATCAGTTTCATATTCAACAATTCATATAACTTGTTTCATTGCATTGATTATAATCCCCTCCATATACCATCAGTTAAAAGTATTTCTCTTTATGGACTTTAGCTTTTTTTTCAAAAAACACACAAACGAAAAAACCCACTCAGGGATATATAGTAAATTACATCTCCAAAAGGCATATTCTGCAAGTCTGCTCCTGGCCACCAGTTCTTAGTCCTTCTCTTCTTAGTTGATGAATCTAGAGTCCTCCATGACCCCATCTCTACCTCTATCTCTGGTGCTGCTGCTTCTCTGGATAAGGTCCCACATTCTATTTGTGTGTTCCTCTCTTGATGGTCCTAGGGTCCTCTGTTTCTGG